TCTCCCCTACCCTCCCCGTCGGGACCCATCGGCGACAGTCCCGGCGTGATTTGGTGTGCCGCCGCGTAAGAAGTGTATTTGTGTTGTTACTTGTTATTGATTGTTTTGTTTGTTATTACGTCGCGTACCACGGGGCTGTGATGCTTGTGTGCCTTGTATCGCGTTAGTGGGCGCTCCGCCGGCCGCTGCCCGCGCTCGCTGTAGCGCCGGCCAATCGGAGGGCCGGGCCGGGCGGCTAGCCCCAGGCGCCGGCCGAACTGACCTGGGGTTGGGACTGGGAGCGGCAGTCAGTCGGCTCTCGATCTCTGCGCGGTACGTGCCCGTCCGGACACGTGCTCTCTGAGCTCGGGCGTCGCTCCGGCGATTTGAGGCCGTCCCAATAATCTAATACTGGTGGTTCGCCCTTGTGGACGACCATTTTGATGCCAGTATTCCCCCTAAATCTAATACGTTTGCATCTCTACGGAGTATGGTTTCGGCCGTTCGGTCGAACCTACTCGTAAAGTTTCCTTAGCAATTTCCCATAGTTATCCTCTCTTAATCTGCCTTAGCTCCAGTTTAACTCCGGATATAGCGCCGTTTCACCTCAGGGTTAACACACGACATACAATCGCGCACAGCAGCGGGATGCGCTCATGTTCGACGGCTCGATGCGTCTGACTCGTTCTTGGATTCGTGTTTGTCTCTGCTGGCAAGTGTCTAACCAGCTCATGTCTTGTTCTTGATTTGTCTTGATTTTCGGCACGCATGAGTAAGACTTGTGCGGAGGTTTCTCCGACAAGGCTCTCGACAATACAAGACGTGCCAAGTACAGCTTTGACCTGGCGGTCGCGGTGATCAGTCGGCTAGTCCATCCTCTAAAATGATACAGTCCACTTAAAGCTCTCCACACCCACTTCGACTGCACGTCCCCCGCCACAGTAGGGTACCAACTCGGGCCACTCTCTGTGGACAGCGGCAGGGCCGCTCCAAGTTTCGACGTGCAGGGCGACCTTTCAACATCAACACGGGGTAGCGGCCACGACAGCCTACCTACATGCCAACTTTCAGCGCAATCGGCCAAGTAGTTACCGAGATATTGTAACAATTATAAAACTGACACCTCTTCGTTTTGCACGTGGCACGTGCATAAGGGGTCACCCACATGCATCGGGAATAGTCCAATACTTGGTAGAAGGAATGAATCTACCTTACAAAATTTACCGCATGTAAATCGGTAAGTGGTTGCTAAGATATAAGCCTCGCAAAAGCGTCCGCATGGCCGGCCGGCCGGCCGCTCCTACTCAGAAATTTCCGTTAATCTACGGAAAGACTCCGCTCGCTTCGCTCGCTCCGTAACAACATCCATTGAAAAATATCGAAACCGAACCATCTTGGGAATATGAGGAAAATACCAGTACAACGCCTTAAATATCGAAACCGAACCATCTTGGGAATATGAGGAAAATACCAGTACAACGCCTTTTGGGGCGACTAACGGAGCGAGCAAGAGGGTGGGCCTTGCACGTGCGAAATTGCGAGGGGGTAGCTCCAACTGACTTGTGCACGGCACCCTACTAACCGGCCTATAGCGATGTGCAAAATTTGAGCACAATCGGCCCAGCCGTTCTCGAGATCTGGAAGCGGCACCCTGCACGTGCGCACGTGCAAAATGGGTCCCAACTGACTTGCGCACGGCACCCTACTAACTGCTCCGTAACCGTGTACCAAAGTTGAGCGCCACCGGTCCAGCCGTTCTCGAGATCTGGAATCGACCCCTGCACGTGCGCACGTGCAGCAGCACCCCAACTCTGGCACATGGATATGCAGTGCCTAGTGGGTGCCTACCTACATGCCAACTTTCAGCGCAATCGGCCTAGTAGTTACCGAGATATTGCAACAATTACAAAACTGACACCTCTTCGTTTTGCACGTGGCACGTGCATTTGGGGTCACCCACATGCATCGGTAATAGTCTAATACTTGGTAGAAGGAATGAAGCTACCCTACAAAAATTACCGCGTGTAAATCGGTCAAGTGGTTGCTGAGGTATAAGCCTCGCAAAAGCGTCCGCACGGCCGGCCGGCCGCTCATACTCGGAAATTTCCGTTAACCCACGAGCCGCTGGGGGGGGGCATAAAGTTGCCCCCCTTTACGTTTTGTGAAATATCTCCGAAACCTGATGAGCTACGAACGTGAAACTTGGCATACCTTCAAATGAATACCTAGGCAATGTTTGAGGAAAGTTTGGTGGCTATAGCACCTAAGATGACGTCACAGTGACGTCAAAAGTTTTGTCGTTTTTCGATATGGACCGTTTCTGATGACGCTGAGCATGAAACTCAACTGTAAATGAACTAGACAGCACCTGCTGTCATCCTTAAACATCTAACTACACTTCCATCTAGTTTCTGACCAATAATCGGCCCTTTATATTCGGTCCCATATATCTGATGTATCGTGAGGAATATGAGAGTCGCAAATCTATAATTTCACTTATGACGTCACTGTGACGTCATTTCAAATGGGATCGACACCAAATTTGGACACAACCTCGGCTAGGTATTCAGAAAGATGTGTGCAAAGTTTCGCTTCTCTATCTCTTCGCGTTGCGACGATATCGTCGCAGAAGTAAAGGGGGGGGGCAACTATATGCCCCCCCCCCAGCGGCCGGCGGGTGGCGCGGAGGCCCAGCGGCCGCCGGGCCCACGAGCCGCTGGGGGGGGGGGGGGCATAAAGTTGCCCCCCCTTTACGTTTTGTGAAATATCTCCGAAACCTGATGAACTACGAACGTGAAACTTGGCATACCTTCAAACCAGTATAGCGCCTTATGGGGCGACTAACGGAGCGAGCGAGAGGGTGGGCCTTGCACGTGCGAAATTGCGAGGGGGTACCTCCAACTAACTTGTGCACGGCACCCTACTAACCGGTCTCTAGCGATGTGCCGAATTTGAGCACAATCGGCCCAGCCGTTCTCGAGATCTGGAAGCGGCACCCTGCACGTGTGCACGTGCAAAATGGGTCCCAACTGACTTGTGCACGGCACCCTACTAACTGCTCCGTAACCGTGTACCAAATTTGAGCGCAATCGGTCCAGCCGTTCTCGAGATCTGGAATCGACCCCTGCACGTGCGCACGTGCAGCAGCACCCCAACTCTGGCACATGGATATGCATTGCCTAGTGGGTGCCTACCTACATGCCAACTTTCAGCGCAATCGGCCAAGTAGTTACCGAGATATTGCAACAATTACAAAAGTGACACCTCTTCGTTTTGCACGTGGCACGTGCATAAGGGGTCACCTACATGCATCGGGAATAGTCCAATACTTGGTAGAAGGAATGAAGCTACCCTACAAAAATTACCGCGTGTAAATCGGTCAAGTGGTTGCTGAGATATAAGCGTCGCAAAACCGTGACCACGGCCGGCCGGCCGGCCGGCCGGCCGCTCATACTCAGAAATTTCCGTTAATCTAAGGAAAGACTCCGCTCGCTTCGCTCGCTCCGTAATGAATACCTAGGCAATGTTTGAGGAAAGTTTGGTGGCTGTAGCACCTAAGATGACGTCACAGTGACGTCATAAATTTTTGTCGTTTTTCGATATGGACCGTTTCTGATGACGCTGAGCATGAAACTCAACTGTAAATGAACTAGACAGCACCTGCTGTCATCCTTAAACATCTAACTACACTTCCATCTAGTTTCTGACCAATAATCGGCCCTTTATATTCGGTCCCATATATCTGATGTATCGTGAGGAATATGAGAGTCGCAAATCTATAATTTCACTTATGATGTCACTGTGACGTCATTTCAAATGGGATCGACACCAAATTTGGACACAACCTCGGCTAGGTATTCAGGAAGATGTGTGCAAAGTTTCGCTTCTCTATCTCTTCGCGTTGCGACGATATCGTCGCAGAAGTAAAGGGGGGGGGGCAACTATATGCCCCCCCCCCCCAGCGGCCGGCGGGTGGCGCGGAGGCCCAGCGGCCGCCGGGTTAATCTAAGGAAAGACTTCGCTCGCTTCGCTCGCTCCGTAACCAACTTTTTACCAAAATCTCAGCCTCTTTTACATTAGAGAGGATTCATAATACCAACAAAATACCAAATGCTTTCGTCTTGAAATACCAAATAACAATTTGGTATCGGTTTGGTATCGGTATAGGTACCAAAAAGTTGGTATCCGATTGACATCTCTAGTCAGGCCAAATTAGGTCAAAGTTCAAAGTTGATATGTTTGCATAAAATGGGTATGTATTCGATGCAGCTCGTCACGGGGAGTTCAATGGTGGTCTTTGTTTTGCGCTACGTGCTCTCGAATTGCCAAAAATTGAGTTCAAAAATTTGAAGTCATCAATTTTGAACAGTTTTCTCTATAACTTGGCCAAAAAAAGAAGTATCGATCTAAAAATTGGTATGTAGATAGAAGAGCGCAGAAGGTATCACATGTATTCCAGTTTTTTTAAATTCAAAATCCTTTTGTTTTTTTTGCTTTTTTCTAAAAAAATCAATTTTTTTAATTTTGTAGGGTCAAAATCCCAAAAGTTTGAAAATCCGAGATGGCAGTTTTGTAGCGCCGTCTTTTTTCTACATGACCATATAAAGAGCTTTGAAATTGGCTTGTAACTGTAGTTTTTTTGTGAGCGTTTCAAGATTTCATGTTTTTTGCTCATTTTTGCTCGAACATGACCTCAGTTTGACCTCACTCAATAACTCCTGACCTAAGATGACCTAAGGCTTGAAATTTCTGTGTCAAGGTGTCAAATTGATGCCCGGTAAGGTACTAAAAATTTGGCGGCGCTGCGCGCCGTCGTTTTCTTGTTATTCAGGAAAACCACAGGGGGGGGGGTCAAATTGCCCCCCCCCCCAGCGGGGCGAGTTTTCTTGTTATTCAGGAAAACCACAGGGGGGTCAAATTGCCCCCCCCCCAGCGGGGCGAGTTAACACTCGTTATAGGCTGCATCCCAGGTAGTCCATTTATTATGCCTGTGCTATTTGTCGTTTTTGTGCTCCTCACAGCATGACGTCCTGAGCCCGCACATGCCGACGGGTCTGACCATCAACGTCACCCTGCTGCCGGAGCGGCTGAGGTCAGCCGGCTACAGCACACACATGGTCGGCAAGTGGCACCAGGGCAACTGCGCGCCCGAGTACCTGCCACATCACCGCGGCTTCGACACCTTCCTGGGTTTCTGGTGCGGCCAGCTGGAGCATTACAACCACACCGTGCAGGACGCACTGGACTTTTGGGACGGCGATCGGCCGCTGCCGGAGCTGGATGGCGTCTACGCGACTTCTGTGTTCACCGACAGGGCTGAGAGCATCATCAAAGAGCACAACGCCAGTCGGCCGCTCTTCATGTATCTGTCCGCCCAGAACCCCCACGCGCCTCTGGAGGTTCGCTCGGATCGTTAAAAAAGAAGAACGTTTGGCTAGACAGGTCTTTGCCTTCCCCATCTGTGATACTCCGAATATTTTACTAAGTTAGATTAAAAACTTATTCTTAATCAGTATGGATCCCTGGAGCATTTAACTAAAATAACCTTTTACTTGTCATATTCTCCGACAACCCTCAAATCATGTACTCGGTATTTGGTTGGCAAAATTGTAAACAAATGAAGCTTGACGGTAAAAAACGACCAAATTACCTCAACCCGAGATCCAAACACCTAAGCGAAGCTGACCAGCCCTGTTCCGATCGCAGGTTCCATCGGAATACGAGGAGCTATACCCGGCCACTATGAACGCCGACCGTCGCACCTACAGTGCCATGGTGACTGCCCTGGACGACTCGGTCGGACGAGTGGTGCAGGCCCTCAAGGATGCCGACCTCTACAGCAACTCGGTGATTCTGTTCGTGAGTGATAACGGAGGAAGTGTCTTTAGCAACCATGGCTCTCGTGACGGCTTCGCAGGCAACAACTATCCCCTGCGAGGGGACAAGAACACCCTCTGGGAAGGCGGCACCCGCACGCCGGCCTTCATCCACTCCCCGCTGCTGGAGCGGGCCGGCTACGTCAGCCACGAGCTGATCCACATCACCGACTGGATGCCGACGCTGCTGCGGCTGGCCGGAGCCAGCGCCGACGGAGACCCTCTGGACGGCTTCGACCAGTGGCCCATGCTGAGCGCCGGCCAGCCCAGCGCGCGTACAGAGATGGTCTACAACATCGACGAGAAGCTGCCGAATGCAGCACTGCGCATCGGCGACATGAAGCTGCTCTGGGGAGACAACTCCGGCTCCAGCGACTGGTACCCGGTGCTGGAGGCCCTGCCGAACTCCTCCGATCGCGCTCCGGCCAGCGCGCGGCGATCGGTCCGCTCGAGTCTCGGCAGTCTCGGCGACTACCCGGTCTACCTGTTCAACGTGACGGCCGACCCGACCGAGCGCCAGGACCTGTCGTCGCTGATGCCGGAGACGGTGCAGGCGATGCTGGAGCGTCTGCTGGAGCTGTCGAAGGAGCTGGTGCCGGCCGACCTGCCTGACCCCGACCCGCGTGGCGCCCCGGTGGACGGGGTCTGGACCACCGGCTGGTGTGAGCCCTACTGATTCCACGACAGGTTTCTTCAGGGAATCGGTAGGGTGGCTGATAATGCTAATGGTGTGATAATGCGGAAGTGTCTTTTGCCATCAAGTGGTTAAAAATCAAGAAACATCAAGAACTTAGCGTACGAGTATACCTGATGTCTTACGACCTAGCCCTACCTCGTATCAGCCCTACCTAGCCCTACCTCGTACCTCGTATCGGTCATATTCTTGTAACTAAAAGATAACATCAATAACTTAAGTCACAATCATCATGTACTCGTATTTGTAGTGACGGTGTTGTGACACGTATATTAAGATACGCATAAAATGATGATGTGAGCATTATCACCGATTAAATGAAATCCATAGAATCGTATCGCCTACGTAGTTCCTTAATACAGTCGCCTCCTAGCGGTGGCTTTTCATTTTATCTCTAATCAAAGGCGATGAGAAAAGCTCAGTCATCATCGTAGCATGAAGCATAATAGCATACCTACAAGTAAGTACCAGCAATGCTATGTTTCATTTGCAAGTTGAATTCCTAGATCTTATCCTTTCCTGTCTTTGTGTATGTGCGTGTGTGTGTGTGTGTAAATGTAAATACCATTTTCTTATTCTCTCACTGAGGTCATCTGCCAGAATGAAGACGATATGCGGCTGGTTTGTGGTGGGACCGTCACAGAGAGCTGGCACCAGCACCGGCACCAGCACCGGCACCAGCACCGGCACCAGCACCAGCACCAGCACCAGCACCAGCACCAGCACCAGCACCAGCACCAGCACCAGCTGGGCCGGTCCCCGCCAGCCCATGTGTCAGCGGCCACACCAGAGCAGCTCTGCCGGGGCGCCAAACAGGTCAGTTGGGCAAACTAGACTTTTGGAATCAAAATATGGAGGCATCAATATTTTGATTCTGGTGGGAGGAGCCATGACCAAATATGGGCATGGAATCAATTTTTTGATTCATTTTGGTACACTTTTGACTTCAAATGTATCGTTACGGTTGAAAAAAGGCCCATGACGGTGAGATTTTTCTTTAAAAAAGTAGAAAAATGTGGTAGATTTGCAAAAAGTGTTACCTCAAAACTAAGAAATTGTCCCTTTGGCCTTGTGAATGGGAAGAAGACAGAGCCACTGTCCATCACGTAAAAGCTGTTTTGGGGAAATCACACTGTATGTTATTTTTGTATCATGAATCGCATACTAAACAATCAGTGTTTGTGTAAAATGGCAAAATGAAATTTTCAAACCCCTAATTATCATTGTTGTAGTGCTTTTATATTTATTATATGGTTTTTACCTGCTGGTTTAGTTTTTGCATTCTTGACATGTAAAAAATGTGAATTGTTATCAAATGTAGTGAAGATAAAGTACAACAATGCTATAGGTATCTGTTCTGGTGCTGAGGATACCACTACATGAGAATAATAGCAAGATAAATGCTGTATTCCTGCAAGTTATTGTTGCCTATCTGTTAACATTACCTGTGAATCAAAATAATGATTAGCCAGCTGATGGGGAATCAATATTATGATTATCTGTTTAAAGTGAATAAATTCCTTGATTGCCTTTCACTACCTATAGAATTCAAATTGTTATGATAGGAGCAATATTATTTTGCTTAGGAGATAGTTCCAGCATTTCTGTTCAAGATCAGGCATGCTCCTTCTTGAAACACTCTCTTATTTTTATGTGATTGGTAAGTTAGAAATGGTCTGCATTTTGCCAAAATATGGTCATAAAGAATCAATCTTTTGATGCCTCCATATTTTGATTCCAAAGGTCTAGTTTGCCCAACTGAGGTGTCCAATCGACCAAAAAGTATGACATTGGCCTTGTGTGTTATCTTTGGGTGTGATTCAAAATTACGTAGGTGCCTACTGAAATCATGAGCCGCTGATAATGTAACATCTGCCGGCTCCCAGACTCCTGTCCTTGGGACCTCATGCATGCTGCCTGGTCCGCCGCCACGCCGCGGCAGAGCTGCTCTGGTGCGGCCCGCAGACACCATGGGCTGGCGGGGACCGGTCCAGCTGGTGCTGGTGCTGGTGCTGTTGCTGACTCTTTGTGATGGTGCCACCACAAACCAGCCGCATATCGTCTTCATTCTGGCAGATGACCTTGGTGAGACTATCAATAGATTGCGTTTGTTTCAATGTCAAACCTTAAAGGGACCTTCCCGGCTCCCACCTTCAAAAAAGTTAATGAATTGGCAAAAAAGTGATGTCGTATGGTTCAGATTGAACAAAAATGAATATCTACCAAATTTCATTTAAAAATACTGGTTTTGAGATATTGGACAATTACTTTTGTTTATTTTTCGGAGCTTTCGCCGTTCCTGCGACGTCATTTGTAAGCAATAATTTGGTTACGGAGCGAGTGAAGCGAGCGTAGCCTTTCCTACGCTAAAGAGGAAGTGTCTTTAGCAACCATGGCTCTCGTGACGGCTACGGAGGCAACAACTATCCTCTGCGAGGGGACAAGAACACCCTCTGGGAAGGCGGCACCCGCACGCCGGCCTTCGTCCACTCCCCGTTGCTGGAGCGGACCGGCTACGTCAGCCACGAGCTGATCCACATCACCGACTGGATGCCGACGCTGCTGCGGCTGGCCGGAGCCAGCGCCGACGGAGACCCTCTGGACGGCTTCGACCAGTGGCCCATGCTGAGCGCCGGCCAGCCCAGCGCGCGCACAGAGATGGTCTACAACATCGACGAGAAGCTGCCGAACGCGGCACTGCGCATCGGCGACATGAAGCTGCTCTGGGGAGACAACTCCGACTCCAGCGACTGGTACCCGGTGCTGGAGGCCCTGCTAGACTCCTCCGATCGCGCTCTGGCCAGCGCGTGGCGATCGGTCCGCTCGAGTCTCGGCAGTCTCGGCGACTACCCGGTCTACCTGTTCAACGTGACGGCCGACCCGACCGAGCGCCAGGACCTGTCGTCGCTGATGCCGGAGACGGTGCAGGCGATGCTGGAGCGTCTGCTGGAGCTGTCGAAGGAGCTAGTGCCGGCCGACGTGCCCTTCCCCGACCCGCGTGGTCACCCGGTGGACGGGGTCTGGACCACCGGCTGGTGTAAGCCCTACTGATTTAAATGTTTTTGTTTCTTTGGCTCATTCGGTATGGCGACTGAATACGAGATCTAATGTTCAGGGCATCAGATGGCTATACGGCCCAAAGAGATGTCATAAAATAAACACCATTCGTAAGGTTGTTCTATTATTTTGCGTAGTTCTCCCTCGAGTTTACAGTTTTTATCCGGAAAAAAAAACGAAAAATGTTGTTCATGGCCTACGATAGCCATTCGCCGGTATCTTGATAATCTTTTTGAAGCTTAAAGACAACAAATAAACTAGCAATAAGCACTTTTCATGGCGACAATATTGTGATACGCATTGCATACCATGGGGATGTGAGGGCCGTCTTACTCTCTGAGGGTAAATTATGGCCTCGTATCGTCTACCCATTCATTCAATATAATCACCCAGCACAGGTTCGTTGTTTTGTCTTTGATCAAAGCCGATGCCGATAGCAGCTGGCGATTTTACCGATTTTCCTTTTCTTCGTCACGCCCAAACACGGAGCACCATTCTCGCGATCACCTCCGTGTCCTCTCAGTTACCACCCTGCCACCGGCTACTCCAGCGGAATAATAACCCCGGCACGACACAAAGGTAAATCCCCGCTGAAAGAAACTGATTGCTCCTTTAGGAGTGCTCGCGACGAACCCTTCAAGCGAGACCCTCTCCAGGCGTCAGCGAGTACTCATCACACTGAGCAAACAACCGGCGCCGACCGAAGCGACGACGGCTGATGAAGCGAGCCGATATCGGCGGAGGAGGGCCCAGTGGAGGGTGAGATCTGTCGGTGCGCGCTGGAGCGGTAACGCCTCACCGCGGTCACCCCAGCGGGGGACGGTAGAGCGGGCGGGAGACTGACGGCTCTGAGGAACTGGGGAAACTGTGGAAAACGGGAATGTAACGAGAGAAAAACAATGGATGAGCAGTCACCAGTAGGGTATCATGGTGAATGGTGAGTTCAACGTTAATGATACCGCGAGGACGATCGCTGTAACGTAAGTCGTCAGTCGCCAACAGTGGCAATGAGGCTACCAGAACGGCAAGGGATACGCAGCTGATCACGTGGCGACTTTGGCGAAGCTGGCGAGGGCGGAGGTGGGTGTGCGGAGGCGGCGGTCGTCTTTGGCCGCGGCCACCGACAATGGTGCGACAATGGCGCCGGTCTCCGTGCCGGCGGAGAATGGCCGGCGCGCGGCGGGGGCCGGCCGCCACCCGTGTCGCCGCGTCCGTCATTGTGCGCCGCGCAGTGCCGCCAGCGCGCCGTGTTGACAGCCACTAATGTGCGCCGGTGGGCGGACACGGCGCGGCACCTCTGAACAGCTCCGACCTCACGTGACTGGAGAGAATCGATGCACAAAAAGGCCACCGCGAGCCGAGAGAGTGTTGACAAAAAATTAGAAAAAGTTCGGACCACCGCACTATGGTTGGAAACGGCCTCACGGATGGCCGTGGGCAATCTCGGAATATATGTATATTTGGGGTGTCATTCTGTTGGAAATCGATGAAATGTTTTGAATTGGGCAGAAAAAATTATTTAGTTGCGCATTTAGTCTCCATTATTGTACGTGGAATCGGGAGTTTCTGAGAGTGGCTTTTTTGGTGCGCCGTCAAAGGTTTAAACAACCGCGCTGGTGATAGCATGTGGAGTACCTCCATGACGTTGTAAAACTGGATTATTATATATCAAAATAATCCTTGTTATGTTGGCTATCGAGTGGAGTGACTCTTTTTCCCATGCGTGTTCAAAATCAGGAACGGCATTGCATTCTGTTTGCAGTGTCACCACAGCAATATTTGCAAAATTACGTTTATGTTTCATTGGACATACAAAAAGTTCTCCATCGACCTCCATTGAGCTTTTTGGCAGAATAAGTCTCTGTTCAATTCTGCGTAAGGGGAACGTAAAAGCAGACTGCGCACTTGTGCGCAAAATCGTCCGTGAAGCTTCATCTCCCGAGGCGTACCTACCCGTCGCTTCGTTAGCACCAGGTCGGCTCGTCAGTCTTGCAATCGCTTATCCTTATAAATGATGGTAAGAAGCAGGGTTGCGGAGTCGTGGTGGAGCCAAATCCGACTCCGACTACGACTCCGACTCCTGACTCGTTGCCATGACTCCGGCCGACTCTGTCTCCGACTCCGGACCCCTGCCAGTGTTTCGGAGTCGTGATGGAGCTGTTCCGATTCGGACCGACTCCGACTTCCACTGCGGGCTCCTGACCGACCCCGACTCCGACTCCGACTCCTGGCTCGTTGCCACGACTCTGGGCGACTCTGGCTCCGACTCCGACTCTGACTCCGACTCTGACTTCGACTCCGCACCCCTCGTAAGAAGTAACTGCTCGCCGCTGCACCTGGAGTATGGATATCGTGCAAACGTGTATGGATAT